GTTTTTCCCCGTTCTCGTTTGATTTTAACAACGACGTCGACTTTTTCCTTTCTTCATTGCTGATGCTGAGGTACCGGGCCTCGTAGCTCCAGACTCCTTTTCCAATTTTATTTTTGTTTTGTTTTTGTTTTTTTTTCCTTTTCCGACCGACCGATCCAAAATCAGAAAACGCATTCGACAATAAACTAAAAAAAAAAGGGGGGATGGCCTCTTCGATTTTTAAAACGGTGCCTTAGCTTAAAAGATACCGTAGGGAACGAAAGAGCGCACTCGTAAACAACGGTAAAGGAAAGCCACGAGGTACCGATTGATTTGAGATGTTACTGTTACTGTTAATACTTCGAACTTCAAAAGCGCCAAGGAAGTAATGCTTAGAGAATGTCAAATGTCTTCCCTGTCCAGTGCAAGTAACTTCTCCTGCTCGAAGCAGGAACCTTTGTCGCTAGCCAGCTGACGCATCAGCACAATTCTGATCGAATGTTTTTGAAACCTTTCCTTTCCGACTTTATCCTCTGTAATGTTTTCTTCGCACTTGCAAATGAACACGAACTTTTGCGTTTCTTCGACGACATATTTAAGCTCAAATCAACAATTCACAAACGGAGAACACTCAGAACAGCTCGTCGACTTTCAAACGTTTGACAATTGCGCTACGCGGCAATCTGTCACGCAACTTTTAATGCAGAGAAACGTTTTTCGTTTATAACCTTGCTTAGAGTCAATCTTTTCTCATATAATTTTTTTTAAATGAGAGTTCGCAATAAGATCTATCTGAAAAAGCGAAAAACATTTTTTGGTTTTGAAAAAATGATCAATTTTGGGGTATACTGATTCCTTATTTATTATTAATTTAACTTCAAATATTTTATCTTTTGAACGTAATTTTTCGAGAAAGGGACGCATGATTGAAGTGGACAGCGCATACCAATGAATGCTAAAATGAAGATGGGAGAGTTGTAATTTGTACGTTAAGTTTCGTGTAATATCCGACCACGAAAAAAGAGTGGCAAAGAAGCCTGTAAATGAAGGGTATCCATAACACTTAAGGAACCGAATTTCTTGTAGTCCCTCACAGAGGTCGTGAGAATTTCTCAATCGATAATCGTAGGGAAACTGTATCGCAAGTTCAAGTTATTGTCTTAACTAGAGAATCTGAATGTTGATTACTAGGCTTGAGGGTTGATGCCCGTACATCAATTATTCTAGTGTATTGTATTTGAAAGGATGACCGGGAGAGACAGGCTAGAAGAGAGTGGAGGCCATTTATTCTAGTGAGGTGTAAGGCTTACATAAAAGTGGGGCTTGAGAATGGATGAGACAAGAGGTTTAACAATGATCAGAATTCCACGTCAACACCAATTCGTTGAGAAGTAAGTGTGTTCGTGTCAGCTATCGTAGTGCAACATTTGAAAGTTTTAGAAGTAGGTTAGAGATATCATTTACCCTACAATACCATTGAACTAACAAGTTTCTGCGGGAACACTTTTAGCATGTTTTATAGATCGAACTCTTTAATTCGTTGTGGAGGAGTTTTCTACTTTATTATGTGCTCACCGCAAAACTCGCATGTTTCAAGGCAATTGGTTTTCACTTCGTGCTCAACAGTGGGAACTGTTGAGTTACAAAATCCAGCTTTCTTCATGTCCTCGCAATTGTCTGCCTTGTCGAAGCATTCTGTTACCGAAATGAAAATAAACATTTGTCGTGTATATGTCTTCTTTTACTGGTTTCTTTATTTTTAATTGTTAACAGAGCCCGTAAAATAAGAAAGAGGCCAAATTATCAGTTTGTATTTTTAAAGTCATCTAAATTCTTTTCTTTTTCCTAAAAACTTTCGAATGGGATAAAATTATTTATAACTTTTGTTAAAAATTACCATTTCGGCATATCGATAAACATGTTTAAGATACCACAAACTGTACGTTAAACTGGCTACTTAAGACAAATTAGATCTTTATCCTCGTAATAAATAAAGTACTTAACACTTTAACTCCTAAATGCCCAATTTAAGCGAGCATATCCAGTGAGGGAACTAAATACTAATCTTGACTCTTTGAGGTCTAACTCGAGAGAAGGGTATGCCCTCGGTGGGAATATTTGACTCGAAATTCCTGTAATTTCTGACAAGCCCTAAAAAGTGTAAGAAATGTGCAATGGCCGGTTTTTTGAAGTAATGCACACGTTCGCTTTACTTACTGTCTGGAGTAGGCTCCTTACCTAAAAACATAAATAATACGAAAACACCGTAAGAAAGATTAAGATAATTAATTACTTTTAAAAATTTTAAGTTGAATAATCAACTAAGTAAGCAAATTCCGTTTGATTTTACGTATTTGAAGTTCTTGAATCGTTTGTTTCATTTCTCACCCCTCAACGATCTCAACGAAAATGGCTTAAAGCGACCAAACTACAGTCAGTGATTTTTTGAACTTATTACTTATTGGGTATGCTGTCTTTACAGTCTAACATTAACGTGTTCAGTACTGACGGCGCACCTATAACACTTTTAGAACTTACAAATGTCACAAGTGACTCCACAGTAAATGGGCATCTGAGGATTGCGGTCACACAATCCTAATGACTTCCACCTCCCACAGTTTACGTCTCGGTCGCGACAGAATGCTGACAGAAAGATTCAAAGAAAGAGACAACAGAAAAAAAACATCATCTTTTTCGATGTAATGCAGTACCTTGAAATTTCAATAACTATTTGTTTGATACCCGAGTTACTCCCAGCATCACTCATTCAAATAAAAAAATATATTGTACTTCGAAGGGATAGTTGGGATAGATTTGTTTCGTTTATCTAAGCAAACCATTTAGTTGATGACTATTGTTAACAAATAAACAGTGATACTGTTCACCTAATTCGAACGATAGTAACAAATTAAAAAAAGTATCAAGATCTCGAGGTTTGGTTCCAAATTTCACGTTTTTCCGTAATGAACCAGCGTAAATGGCTTGTTAAATGTGAAGTGGCAAGAACAATATCTGAAGCAACCTAACCTGACAGCGGGTCGGCTACATCGCGCCGGTTTCCTTCAAGGATTTGAACTACCTTTGTTCCTTCTTTAGAAAATCTTGCTCTACGAGAAATTTCTTGTGGTCAAAACCGACATTTTATCATTATTTTGTCGAAGATGCCGTTCGATGCATGGATGAAAGCTTTGATGAACGAGGGATCGTATTCTTCACCATTTTTCTTTCGCACAGCAAAACCGATTTTTTTGTTTGTTTGTTTGTTTTACATTTCTACGGGCGTATTATCCTCATTTTCCTTTTCTCGCCATTAGTGTCGAGAAATTTCCTGAAAAGCTTCAAATGATATACGCTTTCTTTTTAGTGTTGTTGATCTTGTTTTTTTATTTCTTTTGTTTTTGTTTGTTTGTTTTTTTTTTCTGCTGAAAACTGATTCACTTTACTTGTCGCCTAATGCAACAAATCTGCTCGCCACCGTCATAATTCTAAACAACAAGCGACGCAAGAAACCAAATTTATGCAACAAAGCTGGAAATGGTGGGAATCGTGAGGTCATCAAACGATACGGGACACACAATATTTCGTATACGGAAAATAGACCACTCGTATCCCGGATAAAGGGGTGTATGGCATCTAGGAGTGGTTAAGATACCAGTAACCAGTGGAGGATCCAGACCTTGAGCTAAGGAAGGGGGGGTGGGGGGGGGCGGTTTTGTTTTGCTTGCCCTGCCGGCTTTTCTTCCTTCTGTGATTTCTTCTTATTTTGCCCAAAATAAGGACGGGGGGCGGGGGCTATTTTACTCTCCACTGTGAAATAATGTTAATGTGTTGCGCTTCTCTCCGTCAAGCCTTGACACGAATTAAAAGCTAACCCACGTTTAGAAAAATATAGCAAATCAGGTGGCTTTGTCTGTCTGTCATATACAGACAGACAGTTATATGTTGTAAAAATAGAAATGTAAATAATAGTCCTATGCATCGTGTGTGTTGGATTCCTGACCTACAGTAACTGAAAAATAAGTTGCCACTAACATGGTTTGACTTAACTTTGAATGAAGAACAAGCAGGATTATAATTATTTGTTATTCTTATTTCAGAACCACCTCCGATTCCTGGTACAAAGCCACCTTCACCTCCAGGTACTTCGTGAAATAGCCGACCTGTTGATGACTTGTTATGTAATAATTGATGGTAATAATACCAAGTGAAGTTCATTTCAAGTTTACTCAGCTTCTTATCAGAATTATGATTGACAGCGGTGAACAATTCTGGAAGCCTGATTTGCTATATTTTTCTAAACGTGGGTTAGCTTTTAATTCGTGTCAAGACTTGACGGAGAGAAGCATTTCACAGTGGAGAGTAAAATAGCCCCCTCCCCCCCACCCCGTCCTTATTTTGGGCAAAATAAGAAGAAATCACAGTAGGAAGAAAAGCCGGCAGGGCAAGCAAAACTAAACCGCCCCCCCTCCTCTCCCACCCTTAGCTCAAGGTCGATAAAAGTGCCGGTTTTTTGTCACTGACTTGTATATTTTTGCAAGACGTTTCGGATAACTCTTAAGCTTCCATCAGTTGAAAAACCGCTTGATGTCACGCGCGATTTGAAAACTTTTTTCAAATTGAAACGTTGCGCATGCTGTATGCGTGTGACTCGAGAGAATTTTAAGTGCGTGCTAAGCACCTGTAGACTTCTGGGATGACCATGTGATCATTTCCAGCGTTCATCACATGGATTTTGAAAACGTTGAAGCCGTCAGACATGAGGCACATTACCATCAGCGGCTTTTTCTAGAATCTTAGATGTCTGTAAAAGATCCGAACGCTGGAAATGATCACGTAGTCGCCCCAGAAGTCTACAAGTGCTTGGCAGGCACTTAAGGTCATTCCACTGAAATAGAACCTGCACTGAG